AAAAAAAAGTGTTTTGGGGGTTTAACATAAAGATGTTCAATTGTTCATTTACTAAATTGGTACTAAGTACTAACGAGTTAAAATAGTATTACATAGATCAATTGCATTTGTTATGAATTATGATCCTTTTGCTCTTTTATACAAAGTGCTAAAAGTCCCTGGTTCTCGGTAGCTAAATGTAAGGGCTTGGCATGGAAGATAAATTAACTACCCTTTTTAATTGAATGCCAAAGTTGTTTTTGGGGTTACATGGTTAAAATTAAAGCTATTCATTGCAAATATGGGTGGTGGGGAATCATTGCATCTTGAAGGACAGAAGCAGAGATTTTGAAACAATTGGGATGCTATTAGATCTTTGTGCTCCTAATATCCAAATTCTCTTGCAATTACAACCTCTGATTACTTACAACTGGGAGGGCTTTCTGTAAGTGCGGTGGGGGATTTGTTGGGTACTTTCAAATTCCTTTCCGTACTCCCTCGTTTTTAATGAATAGTGTTTGAATCAGTTTGTACGCACATTATCTAATCTAACTCATAGACGGCTGTCCCTGCTACATTTAATTGTCCAAAAAGCCTTATAAGATTTCTAGATAGGTAGCCTCCATGATTTGAACTCATATCCTCTAAGCTCCTCTATCTACCTTTTTTACTAGCTCCGATGGCAAAGGCCAATCCATGGTGGTTGAATAGTTTCCTTATTTCTTGTAAAAAGAAAAAAAGGAACAAAGGTAGGAGTTAAAATTTATAGAACTCAATGTAAAACCATCAAATCATCTGCATTGATTTAGATATGCACCACCACTTTCTTTATTTTTTCTTTTATTGATGAGTAATTCGCTTTTCCCTCCATACTTCTTACGTTACAATATGTCAGTAGTATTATCTGCCAACTAGACCGACTCAGAATCATTAAATTATAGCAAATGCAGAAATACTTCGTCTTCTTTTTTGTGCTGGTCTTAAGTGAGACAATCTGACCCGGTGGAGTCAGACCTTGTTTATGTGACCAATATAATACATGTTTTTGGCATTTGCCAACAAGGCTGTGAAGTTAAAGCCATTGGAAGTAAAGGTTAAATTATATATGTATGTTTTTAATTATTGCAGACTATTCCTTCCTCAAATTCCGAATGAATTTGCAGTTCTAACAGGAAATGATTATAGTTTACTTAATTACTTCATACTTTGATCATGCAGTCTCGGTCGCGTTAATTGCAGACCTCATTTGCACATATTTATCTGTGTTATGTTTCATTACGCCTCTATACCAGGTCTACATGTTGCTGGCGTCAGTGTTTGGTTTCTTTTCTTCGCTTCTGATTTAAGAACTTGCAGATTCGCTAATTTATGTTTTTGTTCAGTTGCATTATAACATCCAGTTTGTCAAGTAAAATTCATTTAATATCTCATAATATATGATTGGCGGCTAAAGTTGATCTCATTAACTCTTAATAGGTTGCTTTCAGAACAAAGGTCTTCCATCCCAATATCAACAGCAACGGTAGCATATGCCTTGACATACTCAAGGAACAGTGGAGTCCTGCACTAACCATTTCTAAGGTCGCCAGTCTTTGCATAAATGGGATTTATAAGTACTGGGGAAAATACTGATTGCAATTCTGATTCATGCTTTGATGTCTAATAAAGATTGACCTGAATTTTAATTTCTGGTTTTTTGCATGCTGTCAAGTCCAGTTTGCAATTTTGGATGAGGTAACTAGGATATCCTGTTATTACTGAAGAAAAATATTGGAATCTTTTTTCTGGAACAACTAAATGGTGGCCAGGATAGGAAATCCTTGCCACTCCCTGGACTTCATTGTTTAAGATTGGGGATCATCTCGATACGGAAGTGCTATATTAGGAATCTAGGATATCAGGATAAACATAGTCTTATTGCTTATATTTCTCAAGACCGGTGAGATTAGTTTCGTTCCTTGTGACATTATAATTCCAGACATGAATCCAACTTATAATATTGATTAGGATACAGATTCTTGAATAGCAATGCCTCCTTGTTTTACTGAAATGAATGATAAACTCACAAAGAGGATATTCAAACTATCATGGGTTGGCCTAGTAGTCCAACAAGGTTAAGGTAAATTCTAAAGAATTTAGAGGGAATGAGTTCAAATCACAGTGGCTACCAATTAGTAGGGTCGAACAGTTGTCTCGTGAGATTAGTCGATGTGTGCGTAAGCTCATCCGAATACTCATGGATATTAAAAAAATATATATAGAGAGAGGGTATTCAATGAATGCTATCAACTACCATTTCTGTCAGCAGTGAAGATGTCAATATTGAATCTACAGGAAGATTATAATTAACTCTTCATTTCATGTTTTATGGCCTTCTATTATTTCCATTATCCTCCATACGCATCCTTTATACTTGGTTATATTTAAGCATATTCACATTTTCTCCTCCAGGTGTTACTTTCAATCTGTTCGCTGCTAACAGACCCGAATCCTGATGACCCTTTGGTGCCAGAGATCGCACACATGTACAAGACCGACAGAAGCAAGTACGAGGCAACCGCGAGAAGCTGGACCCAGAAGTATGCTATGGGTTAGTGCACTGCTTAGTGTTAGAGGAGGGATTCTTTCCCTATGGCTTTACTTGAATTATATCTTTGAATCTGGCTCTCTTACCCCAGGGTTTAGTTATGATTCCCTCCTGAAACACTGCCTGTTCTTAAACTGTTTGTATGGATAAAAAAAAAAATTATCTTCAATCTTGAGAGTTTATTTGAATAAACCCCAATTGTGGACCTGAATCTGATGCCCTGATGGAAAAATCTATGGTCAGTTATTACATGGTTTAAAACAAATAACAATGTCTCCAGTGTCATTTGGATTCAGAGCTTGGGTAAAGATAAAAGCAATGTCCTGTTTATGTATGTGTTTGGTGAGATTTGTTGTTAATTTTTATCAAGTTTGACATTATTTAACCCGGTAGATATATTAATGTGTTGACCAATTGAGTTAAACTCGAGTGGTGGTAAGAACTTCAGCTGAGTGTAGGACAGCAAAATTATTATATTTGGTCGACTTGATTGACAGTATTGCGGAATTGATTGGTTAGCATGATTCTTGGTAAGTTAGAATCATGTTTGTCTGGTTAGCCAAACTTTTAACATAGTTTAATCGATCAAAACAATATTATGTCTTTCTTAACGTCATAGTTTTCGATTTCTTTCTCGGTTAAAAGGTGACAGGAGCTCTGAAAATCATAATTTATATACATATTATCTTTCATTGAGTAAACATTATGCATGGCTTTACCCTAATAGTTATTCAAATTTAGAGTTTCATATGATAAAATCAAGATTTTAAAGATAAGTCCGAGGTAAAAATATAGTTTTCCCACAACTTAATCATTCACCGTGCTACAACCATTGCTAGAATGATGTACGATGTTACTTTTAGCAGTAGAGTCTTGGACAATCATTTTCATTGTTTTTTTTTTTTCCTTCAAAGCTTGAAGTATGTTGTAATGGAAAAGATAGATTATAGAGCCAGGTATGATGGCAAGAACATTAACTAGTAAGTTGTTCGTAAACGAGACAAAACATATTAACTAATATATTGCTATGAAACTATTGGCACATGGGTTCCTTTGATTCTTGGTGCAAACATCCCATATAAGATTTGTGTCGACTAATAATTCATCATAGTTACTATGTATCAAGTATTAATTATTAACCAATTGGTTATATCAATGATAGTGGGATCCACAAGAACTAATCCCTCCATGCTGTCCAAAAATAATACGACACTGTGACCACTGCTTTCTATAATTTATAAATCATAATGCCTTTTTTTTTCTTTTACAAATTAAAAAATAAGGTTATTTACTAATCATTTTGCTGTTTTTATTTTTTTTACTAGTTCTAAGTTTAAAACTGAATAAGAAAAACAGATTTTTCTATTAGCTTAATACACACAACTTTTCAGTTCGTTTTGAAGGCTAATAATATAATAATATACATACATAACATAACATAACATAACATAACCCAGAATGAGTGATTCTATGTCTAATGGAGACAGTAAAGTATCATTAAAAGAGAACACATGTTTCTGTTTCTTAAAAAAAATGTCCTTTTCCAACATTGTATTAGGATTTGGCATATATATTTTTGGTATAATTATATATTATTTGCAGTAAAACAAACATTTTGGTGGATTGAAAAAGAAAAAAATAATAATTAAAAAAAAAAAAGGAGCCAGCAAAGAGTTGATGGGAGGGAGTGGGAAAAGCAAAGCCCCTCACTTACTTCCCACAAAATCAGGTCTTGTGATGCCTCTGTTTCAGACATCACTCACTATTACAATCTGACCTCCACTCAAATTTTTTATTTTTTATTTTTAACAAGGGGTTTAGATTTGTTCCATTTTGGTCTGCTTTTGTCTTCCATTTTCTTAAGAAATCTAGGTATTTTGTAACTAATTTTGTTTATTGTTTCTTATTTTTTGGGATATTCTTATGATTGTAAAGAAATTTTGAAAACAACACAAACGAGTTTCTTCTTTTTTATTTCAATTTCTAATTTGTTCCAAAATATAAATAAAAACATTGCTTTATCATACTTGATTTATAGACATTGGAATCATGTCATTCATGTTTTTTCATTAGAAGTGAAGAAATAGAAACAAGAAACATTGTAAAACAGACGCTTAAAAACCTGTTTAGTATCGTTTTTGTTGTGGTTTTTTTTAATAAAGAAAACTGTAAATATATTTCTTAACTACTTGTTGTTTATTTGTTTATGTAAAGTAATATTTTTATTTATGATTTGAAAAAAAAAATGGAAATAGAAATGAAGAGTAAGAAATAAGAAACTTGATTTTGTTGTTTCTAAAATTTCTATACACGAGAAACAAGAAGCATAAATAGTTGTCAAATGCTTATGTTTCTCAATAAAACTGAAAACAAGAAACAAAAAACGGAAACATTATAGAACGAACCTATTTATCACGATCAATGAACTTTCAAATTTGTTTTATTTTATTCATTAAATTTTCAAAATGTTGATAGTAGTCCTTGAACTTTAATGCTCTAGATAGAAACCATGCTCGAAACTATCGAGTGGCGAATGAGGGGAAAAAAATGAAGAGTAGGTCGGGCAATGATTCTAGTTGAAACGGATCCATCCTATGTCTCATTCGTCTTTCGCACGAGTTGAGCTCTTTTCTACCTTTCTGTCTTTAAACCCACCACCCCAATCCATGCACTATATAGGAAATGAATAATGGGGAATTTTATGGAAAAAAAAACATAAATACTCGGGTTTAAATTTGGTGCAACCTAAGAGCATCATTCTATTTAGTTTGTATATCCAAAAAGTACTCCAAAGATTCACAGGAAGATTAAAAAAAATACGAGATTGTATAAGGAATTATGTACGTACAAAACCAATATCTAGTATCTCTACATTGCTTTTGACAAAATTTATGGTGCAGTCTTCCATCTTAATTTGTCCTAATTAAAAAATTTGTAAGCAAAATACTTAAGATATATAAATCTTATAAAATAATGCCCATTTCTGTGAAAATTGTTTGCTACACTCTTATAATCCCCTTGAATAAATGTATCAATTTGTTATCGTAAGCAACTACTTAAACCATGTGCATAGATGATTTGAAGGTAAGTATTAGATAATTGAATATTGGATAGTAAAATAATATAACAAAAAATAAAATAGTTATTTTTTAAAAGTTCAAAAATTAAACTACATATTTAAAATTTTAGAAATCAAAATAAAACCACTTCTAAAATTATCATATTTAAACCACCTCTAAAAGCCATGGCGCTACGGACGGACAACCGACCGCACCTCCCCCATCCGGCGCCGCGGTACTGTCTCCTCGACTCAAGTGGCCCCCTGTTTTCATCCTACTTCGATCCTGACACGTTCCGGCTCAATCCCGACTCTTCTCTAACTAGATCCGACGTCGTTTTGACTCCACCAGTCCCAACACTCATATATTGTATTAAATAAAATAAGGTACTAATCCTTTTATTTATTTATTTTTTGATAAAATTAATAAGGGTACCAATTAATTATTATTGTTGTGGTTGCAATGATTCCTTTATGATTTGCATTATATAAGTAATAAGCAATTTGTTGAGCGTGTGGGAGAGGTATGGATGCTGTATTTTCCATTTAATTAGATTGGAGTCTAATTAATGGCTTTCGCTTCCAACATATTTATTATATATTGTCCCTAGTCAAACTCTATCACCGTAACATTACCTCATTCTCTCTCGAAAAATATTTATTCCGATCACTATTAAAAATTGATGGCTCGTTATCTTTTAAAAAGATTTCTGTTGTTCTTGCATTTTTCTTTTTAATTGTCAAACATTTCATAATAGTAAGGAGAGTACTGCTTCGTGGGAAGCCAAATATTTTCTTTTGAGACAACAAACAAACAAAATTTCAAACATTGGATGAGCACGAACATTACTTAACAGTGAAAGGATTTAATTTTTTTCCTCGAGATTGGAGGTTCCTATCGAAAATTTTTAGTATCTATGCACCCAATTTCTTATTTTGGAGAACGAGATCTTGCGTTGGAGAATTTCTACATGTTCTCGATAGGAAAATCTCCTTTTTTGTATTTAGTAAAAAATCAATTATATATATATATATATATTTTTTTTTTTTTTCTTTTTTCTTCGAGGGTAGAGCAAAGAAGAATATGAGATTTATGTCTATATGTGTGAGTTGTAGCACTAAGTCTTAACATATTCTCTATTTATTGTTTTTGTCTTCTAAACCCTTAGTTTAAGCGTCTTAGCTCCACTTTCCAACTACAACTCTCAATATTTAATTTGATTTTCCACTCACTAGTTTAGTTTGTATGCCAAAAGTATACATCAATAATAAAATATATATACTTCAAGTGAGATTTATTTATTATAATACATAAGTAGGATTTTTTTTTACTTTGAAATATTGTTTACGCTAATGTTCAATAATGGATCCTTATAATCAAGGTTTGTTGTTTGAGTTGAACAACACTGTGTGATTGGCGCAGGACTCGAACACAAGATTTTATGATAAGTGATACCACAAAGTCTCGTATTCTTGCCATCACGCAATCTTCTAGGAGATGGTTGAAGATCATCTCTCATAGGAAATAGAGATGTTTTAACGGTGAGTTATCACATTTATCTTTTTCAATCATTAGATTATTTAATCCTTCAAATCTATTCTAATTCATCTTTATTTTTGTTAAATTATTATTTTTTGTTACACATTTTATTGAGTAGTAAATTCTAGTATAGTTTAGTATGGATAAGACACAAATTACCTTCATCCGATTCCTCACTCCACATTTATTATTTTACTTAAAAAAACTTCAATATTTATCTATTATTTATTGAAATCAAAAGTTCATCCTTTTCTTCTAAAGAAGTTTATAACAAAAAGTATTTAAAAGCGCTCTCTATTAAAGCCTACTTTAATTTAGTAAAAACAAAAATTTTCTTTTCTACTTTGGGAGCAATAAATAACTTCCAAAAGCAATGAACAAAGTTTTCATTCTCTTTCCTTAGTGAAAAAACCCACTTTTTGCATAGTATTTTAACTTAGAATTACATTGTTAGGAATGTACTTCTTGTCCTTGACTTTATGACAATTTACTACCTCCCTCCACCTATTTTATGATTTCAAAGAATCTAAGTTAAATATAGAGAGGGCCTCCTAATATTTTATAAAGCACTTCTCACCATAATTAACCTATACTTTTGTTAACCTTGCTAATTAAAAATGTTTGTGGAAATGTGAGATTAAACCTTTAATCTCTAAATGAGTAAGATCTCTTAGTCGTTGAATTGACATATGGTATTCTCGCATTTAAGCAACAATTTTAGTTATAGAAATTTACT